AACGAGGCTGCCTTCTGCAGCAGGCCCCGCAGGCAGCCATCTCCCCAGGATCTGCCAGGACCCCCCAGGGCCCTGCCTTCCCGGCTCAGCAGCGACACGGTGTTTAAACGGGTTCTGAGCGAAGGCCCAAGTCACATCCTCCAAGCTGCTGGAATTCAGGAATCTCATGTCTCCCTGCCACCGGGACCCTTCAGGGCCGCACCTCTCCACGGTGACCCTCCAGTGCTACTCCCCCTCCCAGGACAGAGGTCACACGTGTCTGATGCGAGCTCCTCTCTGGGAGCCTGCAGAGGGCACGCAGCCCCGCCGACACCTTGACATCAGCTTCTGGCCCCCAGCACGGTGAGGGAGTAAATCTCTGTGGTTTCAACCCCCCGGCTTGCAGCACGAGGGAGAGCGACCCCAGGACACGCACACGCCACCCTAAGCCTCGGGACCTGCTGGACCTTCAACACAGCGGCACGGAAGCGGGCTGCGGGGCTGCCTGGGGGATCCCAGGGTCCCCCCTCCCCCAGGGGGTGACACAGATGCGGGAGTGGCTGCCGAACGGACACGCGCACACACAGACGCCGTGGGGCTGGAAGCGACTGGACCTCCCAGCTTGGGGGAATTTTAAGTTTCCAACTTCCAAAAGGAGGCGACCCCAGCAGCGTCTGGTGCGTGAGGCGGCCAGCGGCAGGCTGCACATCGTCTCTCGTCACCACATCCTTCCCTTCGCTTTCCCACCCCTAGAACGGAAGGTCAGAGCAGCGGGAAGGCCCAGCCCCGCCCAGGGAGGCACCCCAGGCGTGCCCCTGGCCTGTGTGACCTTGACCTGGCAGCCCTCCCTCCGTGGATGGGGTCACGGAGTCCACGAGCCTGCCCTCGCTCCCCTCACTCTGCAAACATGGGGTCACCCCGCCTGACACTCGACCTCCTCTGCGGCTGGTCACTAAAATGTACTTGGGACTCTGGCCTGGAAGCAAATCCAAAACCAGGGCCAGGTTCTGCCCCTTTCTCTCCCGTGCGACGCTTTCCTCTGCCTGGGGAAGGCGGCTGCGAGCGCTGGGCTCTGCGGACCCGGCAAAAAGCAGGCTGGGAACCGTGGCCCCTGACGCCCGGGATTCGCAGGCCTGCGCCACCCTCACCCCGGAGCGGCGGGAGCTCCCCGGGCACGGGCCCTCGCCATGCCAGCACCACGGGCCGAGCTCCGTGTGGGCGGTGCCCCCGGGAGCCCCGGCCCCATCTGACTGCCAAGAGGATTGCTCTCGCTTTGCTCGTGAGGCTTGGAGAGGCTCCACAGGCGGGGCCCCGTCCCTGAGCCAGAAGTCCAGGACAAAGGGACACTGCAGTCAGTCCCCACCGGGGCTTCTCCAGTCTCTCCGAACCCGTGGAGTCCAGCCAGAGTCCACCTTCTGCCACCCTCTGCGAGTTCTCCTCCCGTGAGAATAGTCGGGCGCTGTGTGAACCAGTGCACCTGACTCTAGCTGTATGGCGTCGGCCAGAATTGAGCATCTACGCGCCATCCCCCCTGCCCCGACTAAGCACAGCTCTGGGCGTTGCGGGACGCGTCCCCTCGGAGTCCCTGCTGGAATCTGCAAGCGTGTGGCTTCGCGGCTATCCCAGGCTCTGCCCAACCCCGCCCATGCCGTGCCAAGGCTGGTCCGAGGTCAGTCAGCAGGCCGTCCCACCCCTCTGTGCCCCAGCGGGGCGCAGAGGTGGGGGGTGGGAGGGCTGCAAGATGCCAGCGTGGGGCCCTGTGGAGCACCCTGCAGGATTGACAGATTGATCCTACCGGAGCTAAGCAGTCCAGCCTTGGCAAGTGTTTGCAGGCTGATAAGGAATCTAGACTCTCATCAAGGAAGCACTAAGTAGCTGCGGGGAGAAAGTGCCCCACGGACTAAGAAATTTCCGGAAATTAATTGTTCTCGTTATGAGCTGAGTTATGTTCCCCAAATTCCTCTGCGGAAACCCTGGCCCCCAGCACCTCAGAATGTGACTGTATTTAGAGACGGCGTCTTGAAAGAGGTAATTAAGGTAAGATGAGGTCAGTAGGGTGGCCCTGATGCAATCTGACTGGTGTCCTCACCTGACAAGCACAGGGGGACCAAGTGAAGGTAGCCACCTACACGCCACGGAGAGACAGACATCTCAGGAGGACACGGCCTTGCTGACACCTCGATCTTGGACTTCCAGAACCAAGAGAGAACAAACTATCGTCTACACAGCCTGATCTGCACTACTTTGTTATGGATGCCTGAAATCACACCGATACTGTCCTGTTTGGGGTCCAGCTTGGCGGGGAGCATGTTTGGAGGACCCCCACCCCTGGTTTTCGCCCCTCCATCCCCTGAGACTGCATCTTATTTCTGTAATTAGGAAGAAGGTAATTAAGCCCAAGAAAACATACACAAGGAAGTACCTGAGGCCCCAGCCCCCACCCACTGCTGGCAGAGGTCCCAGCCTCTACGAGACGCCCCAGGCACACTACCAGGCCATCTGGCCCTGCTCTCCTCACCGGTCTTCCTGTACGGTGGGGGAGAACACAGCACCCCTGGGCACTGCTGGCCCACCTCATTCAGCAGCCTCTAAGACAGACCCCGTTCACGCACCCCATCTTCCCTAAAACAACCTGGGAAGCAGGCATCGTGACTGTTCTACAGACAAAGGAACTGAGCTCAGTGTGGAAGGTGGCCTCTTCAAGTTCAGGGACCTAACAAATATCCCCTGCCTTCAGAGACAGCCACCCTGCCAGGCTTTTCCTGGGCCTCACAACCCCAGAAGGAAGTGCCAGGATGAGTCAAATCAGAAGCAGAGCCTCCGACCCCCAGCACACAGGTGAAGGATGCTGGGCACTGGGGAAAGCCCAGGTTAGAATCGCAGTTCTGACCTTCAGAACCACTTCCCCGGGTGGGTGGTCTAGCCCCATCCCTGGAGTCCCCGGTGTGGAAGTTGAGAGCACGCGCCTGGAAGGGAAGGGCATCACTGCAGGACCCAGGTGAGCTGAGGAGGGGAACGGGTGCCCAGTGCAGGGAGAGAGGAGGAGTGTAGACAGACACGGAGGAGGGACTGGGCACAGGACACAAGGAAGCCAGCGGGGGGCCGCACACCCCTGCCAAGGACAAAGCTGCCACGGCTGTGTGGCCAAGAAGGGGTGTCCCTCCTGGGACAGCAGGCTGAAGTTGTTCTTGAGCCCTTCCTGCTTCTGACTGCCAGGTGTGCCCCTGCACCTTTCTCCCAAGCACAGTGCCACCCCAGCGGCCCTGCCCACATAATCCACCTACATGTAACCAAGCTTCCCCTTCCCCAGAGAGCTAGGAGCAGGCAATCCACGGGCCATACCTGCTTCTTGCTGGGGGGGGGTGTGGGTGTGTGTGTGTGCAAGCCAGGGGAGCCATGACCTTGTCATGACCACCCAGCCCTCCTGCTGGGCAGACAAGGGAAGGAAGCGCCCATCACCGGCGCTGCCTCCAGCCTGGCATGAGAGCCCACGCCAGCCGGGCCTCCTTCTGCACCTCCAAGAGCCACCCAGCCATAACCTTGCGGCTGGAATAGGAAGCAGTGGGTGCCCGGCCAGTGAGGCCCCAACAAGGACAGGCGCAGGAGGTCTGTCATTAAGTAAAGGCTACGGTACTTGAAAAGCAGCTTCTAAAGCCAAAAAGGCAGGCGCCTGAGTCGCTCTCTGGGCTTTTCTTCAACAACACCTGCAGGTAGGCCACCTCTGCCCTGTCCGCCTCTCCGGCCACCACCGCCCCCAGCCGCAAGGTGGGACCCAACCCGGCCGGCAGAAGCCAGGGTCCGCGAGCTCGCTCCCCCTCCTGGCAGGTGGACGCGCCAAACACCTGCCTTCCCTCCCTCGCCCTGCGCCTCCCCCCTCCCCCCGGCCAGG